ATCTTATTGTGCAATTTAGCATAGAAAATGATTCTCTAACGTATTGACAACAGGAACTATTTGCAGTAAAAGATTTACTTAACGACGGTGTTAACCGTGTATCGTATCAGAAATAATCTATTTATGTTTATTGCATCGCATTTCAATATATGGATATTGGTAGGAAAATCGATATCTCTCGCACAATCCCTTGCATTGTAGCATCGGTTAGTCGAGGCTGTTCTCTTTTTCTTTTTTTTTTTTTTCTTTTCTTTTCCTTAACAATCGTTGATGATAACGAAAGAGAAAGAAGGGATAAGCTAGTTCCAAACACAGGCTTGGCATTTGATAGCCTAAGTCTGATGCTGAACTTGACTCTCTCTTGCTCGCAGGTCCAATTCGTTCCGGCAGACTAGCGGTGGTAGGGCATTGCAGGGCTCGGAGGGGGGAGGCTATCGTGGGGCCACTCCAAGCAGCTCCCTTATGGGCAGCTCCAGCATCTCTGCCCACCCCCTCCTGCCCCTCGGCGATCCTGGTATGTACCATGACCGACACCAACCTCCACAACAAACGCTTTATTTTTAATTTCTCCGCCCTTTGGCTCTCTATTTCTGTCCATCTGTTTCTAGCCTCATTTCTTTTCACCGTATCATAACTAAAGTATTGTAATAGTAGAGTAGAATAGCGTATCTTAAATAGATTGTTTTCAACGGATTTTGTAAGAGAGATTTATTATGTTTATAAGAAATACATATGTATGTGTACATGAAAATTATAATGTAAGAAAATCTGAATTATATGCATCTGCGATTATGATTATATTTTGTTGATATTGATCTAGATAATTTTTGAAATATATATACATTAAAGATTTTGAATTGAGGAATGTTCATATGAGATTTTGCAATAGTTTTATATGAAGAAAATAAATTAGTAATTAGAAATGATTAAATATCAATTAGCTTTCTTTGAAATAGTAAAACAACATTAGCAGTTTTTAATATAAATATGGAATATTTATATGATATATTTATGTTACTATACCATTAAAATGATATTGGTTGAATTATATAATTGTATTGAATTATATAATAATATTATAGTTTTAATCATTCATTAATATATGTTTACAATATTTAGAAAAATGAAAGAAAGTGTGCACGAGATAGATTCATTTTTCCCGCACAATGGTTCTTTCATTAATTAAAATGTTCATTAAAATAATTAACATGACAGAGGCGTAATCGCATGAGAGTTACATTCAAAAAATCCATAATGTCGCGTGAATGTCAGAAGGAAAAGAATTTATATCATACGATATGATCTTTCCAGCCCTGGCAACCCCAGCTCTATCTCTGTCATGCGGTTCGATGACACTGGATTCTCCGACGACTGTGACGAGTGTCTCGATGGGAGGGATTCACCGTCGAGAAGACACAGCTACGTCATTTCGGACGCTCACCTCTATCGACGTCCATTCACCAGCCACCCCCAGCCAGGTCCCAGCACAGCGACAGATGCATGCTACCAGCCAGCAACGGATTTCATCAACAGGTCGTATCAGCCTCTCTAACAGCAGTCCTCCTGAATTCCCACCACCACGACCTCTGCCCAGATACCCCTGGCAACGGTCGGCTAGTTGTCGCGAATTGTATGCTTCTAGTTTCGAAGACTCCGGTAAAGCGCGGTCGCGGGACGACAAAGTCACCGCGGACCTCACGTTAGATCCATTCCAATTAGCTTCCCAGGGTGAACTAGATAACCCCATAACACGTTACGATGAGAGTAATCGTTCATATAGCGCCGCTAGTTCGAAATTACCTTCTTTAGATCATGATTCTGTTCCCGAGCGTGTCTACAGCAGTTCCTACCCGGGAACGTCGTCGTTGTCTACCGAATCGGGCCATGAGGAATCGGGTCCCGCTGGAGATTTGTCGCACGACGATCTCTCGCACGATTCTTACGAGCTTTTGGAACGCGAACATGAATTCGAATATCCGGAATCGTATTCCAGCCCGCACGATGAACACGAACCAATATCCGATCAGAGCGACGAAGAAATCGAGCATGAGATGTTCCAAATGGATTCCGAGACCGATTCTTTCGTCAAGCATAGATCGTTAAAACTTTCAGAAAAACAACAATACAAATCCGCGTTTACTGATCTCAAGAACTCTAAAACCAAGTCCATCGATCGGTACTCAGCTGTATCCAAAGTAGATGGTGATTTCGTCATCACCGAATCCAGGATACAACGGTCAGGCACTCAAATAGAACGCAAATTCGAAACGAGACACGCAAATTCCGTAGAACAACAGTCCAAGACGGGTATTCCGCATCAGGATTCTGCCAGGAAAGATCCCGTGGTGATGCAGGTACAAAAGCAAAAGATTTCTGTCCTGAACGAGTTAAAAAATTTAAAGCCAAAATACAAGATTACTCATGTAGACTCGGAGATTTTGCGAGACGAGGGTATTATGCGTCCAAAGTCGCGAATAGATGACGACTTGAGCCCGGTTGAGGGAAATAAAACTATATTGGATCATGGTGTAAAGGGTAGAACAACTAGGGCGCGCAGTATCGCTAGCTTGGATGACCATCCGCCGCGATTATATGTTGAAACAGGTAGTTTAGGTCGGGGACACAAGTCTAGAGATAGGAAATCGAGAGACGCTGACGTTAAGATCGAAAAGGTTTTGTCAAAGGAGCGTAGAAGTGTTGAAAAGGAAGAACGAAAGCGGGATTATTCGAGAGATTATAGGCGAGTGGATAAGAACGATTCGCGAGAACGTCGTTCGGTAGATCGACTCGATTCGCGCGAACGAAGATCGGACAGCCATGGTCGTCGTAGTGTAGATCGAATTGATATGCGCGAATTACGTAGAAGCATCGAGCGGCTCGATGTGCGCGAGAAGAGTTATGAACACCTAGATTCGAAGGAAAAGAGTGCCTTTTATTACAGTGATTTCTATGAATCGCGTGGTAAGAGCGTCGATCGTTTAGACTCTCAAGGGCTACGTAGTAGCATGGAGTATTTAAAGAGTCCCAAGGAGAGAGGTAATCATCGGCATGCGGATACGCGAGAACGCCGAGAGAGAAGTATCGAACGAATCGATTCTCGAGAAACAAGAAAAAACAGAGCCGCTTCTATCGATTACGATCAAAGGCATACTTTAGAACGCTTCGATTCTGGTAATAGAAGCCCGTTCGAGCGATTGACTCCGAAGGAACAACGGAGGATGAGCATAGAAAGACTTGATTCTCAAAAGTTCGACTTCGATCCACGAGCGATCGAACGTTTGAAATCCTTGGAGCGCTATGAACAAAGGGAACGAACTTATGACAGAAAGATCGAATCTAGGAGCGCCGAACGAAAGAGCCTGGAGAAATTGGACTCGCATGAGCGAAGATATTTGGGGCGTTTGGAGTCGCGAGAGGGAAGAAGTCTCGAGTACTTGGACTTCGATAGTACGGAACGTAGGAAAAACATCGAAAAAACAGAATACAAAGATCAGAAGAGGAGCAGAAGTAAAATCGAGAAAGGCAAGTCAGAAGAGAAACCACGAGAACGCGATGATTGGAGAAGTTTAGAGAAAGCGCGGAAAGATGATGAAAGACGGGAACGCGAACGGCAAGCAAAACTGTCCATCGAATCTCGTACAGAAACTGTTATCGGCGTGCCACATGAAGTGGAGAATTTGAAGTCGAAAACCGTATTCGCTGAATACGAACCAAAGGTTGTCGGTGGCATTGTACTAGGGTTCGAGGAAACTGCATTGCCTGGACATGTGCCAGTAGAACGTACAAAGAGTGATCCGAATCCGGCGCGACAGAGATTAGGATCCAACAATAAACGGCACATGCTGATGCATCAAAAGTCTATAGACTTGACACCAGCCGATTCCGGCGATGAAGAACCGTTTTCGGATAGCGCGGCAATGCAGAAAACTAACATTGATATTCCCTACACTTTGCATAAGAGGCATGTTATGAACGGCACGGCATCTGACGAGAAATCTGAATCGGATAGCAGTAAAACATCGAAGAATATCAAGAGCCTCGCCAAGGACTTGCCAAAGTTGCCCTTGAAAATGGTAACAGATCTCCCGTATTTTGATCTGACCAAACTTTCTTCGATAGACAAAACCAGTAATAAACTATCGCCAGATAAATCAAAGAGCAGTGCGATTACTACCGCAAGACCGAAATCGATATTGAGTCCTTCAGATAAGCCGAAAAGTATTTTAAGTCCAACATCGAAACTCTCACCGACAGATCCAAAGAGTATTATTTGTAGTTTATCACCTACTAAGAGAAGTCCTTCGAAGACGAAGACTCAATCTCCTGAGAAACTCTCGCAAAAGGGCGGCTCGTTAGACAGAAATAGAGCCGAAGTTATCATCGAAGATTACACATGTAAAAAATCCTCGAGTTTGGATAAAAAGCCTTCGAAATTGTCGCCAGTAGAGTCAAATATCACAATTATTTCAGCTCTTGAAAAACGTTCGCCCAAAAAATCGCCGACTAATTCCAATGTAACTATCATTTCTGTGATACAAAAGAAAAAATCTCTCGATGGAGTATCTAAATCTCCTACTGCAAAAACGGCAGATACTAAAGCGAAAGCTGCTTTGAATTTTGCTGATATTGTTGGTATGGAAATGAAGCAAAATCTGGAACGTAAGGCGAAAATTGAAAAGGATAGTCTGAAAGCACCGGATGATAGTTTAGAAAAGCAAGATAGCATCGAGAAAATACCATTACCTGAAATTCCTGACAGCGAAAAAGTCGAAGAGAAAATAATGCTTATTACAGGTGACCAAATTAAAAGCGTTGAACAAACGATCAAAGAACGAGATCGTTCCCCGAAAAGAGTCGTTGATGAATTATCTGACGATGATCAAAAAAGAGAGAATGTACAATCTGTAATAGCTGAAGTTCATATACCGGCTACACCGGAAATGAAGTCGGAAAAACCGCCAATTCCAGAAAAACCGAAGACATTGGAAAAGCCAAGTATTCCTGAAAAAACGAAACGTATTTTGGAGAGAATAGAATCGAAATTTTCGGAAGTTAGTAAAAATTCCGCTACAAAAATATCGAGACCAAAAATCATCGATACAGGATTTGATGATTTCGTGGATCCAGTTGCCGATTTGCCTTTAGATGAAGTGCCTGTGAAACCTGCTCTAGAGTTGGATAGTCTTAAAGTTCCTGAGTTTGTTCCTTTCATGCTGAAGCCGCACGTGGAACCATTAAGGTCGAAATCTTTATCTCTGGCGGAAGAAAAGGCACCGATTGATACATTACTCTCACCAGAGGTTGAAAATAAACACTTTGTGCAAGATGTTTCTCCAAAGAGAATAAAGAAAGTAAAATCTGAGCCGAAAAAAGATTTTAAGAAACAATCAAAATCATTAGAAGGTGACAAACCGCCGCTGAAGAAGAGCGCATCAAAAGAGTCACGTGCGCCAGCGGTGAGTACAAAAATTGACAAGTCCAAATTGAAACTCGGCGAAATGCCGCAAGAAATTATAATAATAGATTCAACTGATGTATCACCAGAGATAAGTATCGTACAGAAGGGCAGATCAAAATCCGTAACCAGATTGTCCGATAAACCACCATCAAAAGATGAAAAGGAAGAGACAAAAACTCGCGCAAAATCCGCATCCGTCGACGATGAGTTGATTAAAGGCGCGATAAAATCTGAAAAATCGAGACCAAAATCATTGGGAATATCGAAGAGTTTGGGAAGTACAGAGAAGAAAGATTCAGTAGAGAAAATTTCACCGAAGAGATCTAAAGTTGTCACCAAGACTGACGGTAAATCTGCTGTGGTGAAGGATACAGGGTCAAAACAAGATTTAAAAACAGCACGCGGCAAAATGGTGTCAAAAGTGGAAACAACAAGCGAAGAAGCTGTTGCTGAGTCGAAACAGTCCAAGCAAGAAAAGGATTCAAAACCAAATGTTAAACCTGACGTAGTGATTGATCAACCAATGGATATTAAAAAAGCCACAGCAGTTGATGAGACCAAAGAAACAATTAAAGAATTAGGTAAAGAGCCAAGAAAAGAACTAAGTAAAGAATCAACAAAGGACAATATAAAGAAAACAGCACTTGTTCAGGATTTGACTCAATCCCCTTTGGTATTGCGTAAGCCAGGACAAACACCGATACTCTTTGCCCGCGCACGTCTCGGTCTTTCAGAAGGTAGTGGAATCGGCGCTCTTCAGCGTCAAGGTGCAACGCAGTCACCTACTGCTCAACGACGCGCGAAATCTTTGGATGCTGCAGTGATTTCCGTACATAGACTACCGCCGGCAAATGCGTTCTCTAGTAAAGACGATACGGTGGATGTATCGGAGAATCTGGAGGATCAAGAAAATGCCGCCGAGGATGTCGCTCAAAGCGCGAGCGCAGTATCGAAGCTTTCGATTCAGATGGAGGCTTCTCCGAATCATAAATCCGATAGTACTGATCACACGACTGTTCCGGAGATATATACCGATTCTCTATCTGTCACCGAGACCTCGGCACAGTATTTAGAATCACCATTGACGGAATGTAACGAAATCGTCACCTGCGCCGATTCGATACCTTATGAAGGACAAAAAGATAGCCGGATACCATTTATAAGTCCCATTAATGGAAACGATACACAAATGTCGATTGTAGAAAGTGCTAAAATGGAGGAAGCGACGAAATTTATCGATCAAAATTCTACGGAATCCGGTGCCGAGCAAGAGACATCTCAGGAGACTTTCGAAGCGAAGATTGATATGCCGAGAGATGCTCAATTGGATCGAGATCAATCAGCGATTTCTACAATTTTCATGAAAAGTGTTAGCACAATCATTAGCAAGCAAAAACAAATTGAATCACCGAGCGAAATTTCTGACGAAGAGACAAATGCGAAAACGTATGAAACAGCATCGACGAAATCTCCATCTCATTTAGATGACTTTTGTGTCAGAACTGAAGGTTCGAGAAGTCCATCTGAGAGAGATGACGTGCCTGACGTGACTATAAGCGCGGTTCGAGAAGATGAGATGTTCTTTTTGAATCGTTATGATCAGGATGATCCTCCAGATATGGTTAAATCGCCAATACAAATATCTATTGAAGAATGTTCCGACGATGAAATGAATCTGGAGGATGAAGAGGATGAGATGGAAGTGCGGGTAGAAGAGATTGATGAACGAGAAGAAGAGGAAAATAAGCGATTGGACTCTCTTGATACGAGCGAAGATACGCTCGATGCGCTCGATACGCAAGTGCAAATGCGAGGCGCAGATAGTGAACTAAGTTCACCCGATTATGGTGTCGATAAGATGGATGAGAAGACATTAGTGGAGGTCGAGTTGACACCAGAATACCTGGAGATGAAGAAGGAAGATGAAGAGACAGCGGAAGAATTACCGGAAGATGAACCAGCTAAAGAAACTGCGGAGATCGCGGATAGTAATCGTCTTTCTATTGACAGGAAACTGAGATTAAGCACTGAACGTTCAAAAAGTGAAGAGACCAATACTTGGACACCGGATAGAGAAGATCCAGATTCCAGTTCGTGTTCTATTGCTAGGCCATTAGGAATCGGTCAGATACAACCCATAATAGATCGTCGGGAGATTGCTATGATCGAAGGCGCTCGTAACAGTGGTTCTCTGGATGATGATAACAGTAATGGTTCGCAACCTCCCCCGAAGCAGGAGATGAGCGTTACATGGAAGTCGTTTCCACAAGAAAGCTCCGGTAGCTCCAGTCTTGAAGAGGGCTGGGCACCTCAAGATGAAAACAATGCACAACAATCACAGTCCGAGGATAGCAATGGTCAAAATGAGGACAGTTATCAAGAGGATTTAGCGGACTTTCCTGGCACCTTTATTATTGGTCCCGAAATATTGGCTAATTACGGTGCATTTTCGCTTTCACGTACGTTGTCAAGAATATCCGAACGATCGACCACATCGGAACAGGATAGAAGCGACTTGGAAGATTCCTTCAAACCTAGTTCGAGATCGCCGAGCCTTGACGACGAATCTTTGATGTCGAGTGATCATCAGCCATCTCTATCATCAGATCCTCCATCTGGCACGGCCTTACCATCCGTTTCCGATGATCGCAGAACATCTTCCGAGTTACCAGATATTCCTATCGACGTGGTTGGTGCGCATGAAGACGATTCAAAATCGCCACGAACAAATAGGAGATCACGATTGCAATTGCAAAGTTCCGAGGACTGGCCGTCGCCACCTAGTTCACCTGTATTTGAAACACCAGTAGTGAGCCACGTGGAAACGTTTTATATGGAAATTAAACCAGAGGAAGCTGTAAAGGTGACAGTGACGGATAGCACGGAGACGCCTGTCCAAGCGGAACAAAACAGCGATTCCAGTGACGAGAACAGAACATTGCACGATGATTTGCATTCAACTCTTTTGGAAGATGGACAAAGTTCGACGTCCGCGACAACAGCCGACGGTACGGTCAAAATCGCGGTAAAACCGAAATCGAATTCGTACATAACCGGCTCGTCGCACAGCGAGGACACGTCAATGGGTTTGTCTATGTCCGAATGGTCTAGCTCGAATAACACCGTGCGCCAATTTTGCCAGTATTCCGGTACGAAATCTGATGATAACTCGCTGGCCGAACTCGGTGCTTCGATTTCAGATTGGTCGGGTAGCACGACAGTAATACCGCAACAATACTATGCCGCAGCGGACAAAAGTCAAAGCGATACCACCACGTCTGAGAGAAGTGCGACTAGCATGAGACCGAATTCGAAGTGCCAGTCGGCTGATACTTCCTCTCTCCCATCTCCGCCATCCCCGTCTTCGTTGCCGCTACCCGTGTCACCACCATTGCCTTCTCCACCCGCGACGACTTCCTCCTCGTTTCATCAGCATGAGGAGAAAGCCGTCAATTTTACGATCGAACAGCACGAGATTTTACAACCCGAGGTGATTGTCGAGGACGACAACGATCAATCTCGAAATCGTGGTGATGAGTTCGACGAAGCAAGACGTTTTATCGAAAATCAGTTCGACGAACACCATCGCTCACATCGATTTGACGATGAGCAGCAGAATATTTATCCTCAAGAATTTACCGATATTTCGCCACCTCGCATCACTCTTCAAAACGAATTCGATGAGACCATTGATGACGACTTTCAAATTGTTCCGGACGAAGATACAATTTGTGTTGACGACACGGCATTGCCTATCCCCGAGGAAGATGAGGAGGATCAATTGTATGATAACGTGCCCGCCATGAGGTATTCCAGTAGTGACAAAGTGCGAATGGAAGTCGGTCGCGGAGACAGTTCAGAAGACATGCATGAAAAATATGCCGATCTCACTTTACAATCATCAAGAATGGGAGACGACGATTGGTCGTCCGAAGAACGAAGAGACGTCCCGGAGCGCGAGAAATCGTCGACAAAATCGACGGGCAAATTTGATCGCGGCTTCTCCGAACCAAGTCCGCACGAAGCAGGCAGGTATCAGGGCACGCGATCCACCGAACGACCTGTAGTGGTACCGATTCGAGCAAAGTCGACCCCGTATTACTCTACGACGAGTTTGAGTGGCGAGTCGACCACGTCTAGCCCACCTATGCCGATTAGAACGCAGATTAGAACGAAGACAATGCCTTACTCGTCGAATCGCAGTCCGCAGAGCGAAGGTGACACTTCCTCTAGTATGGACAGCCCGGCGCACACTCCCGATCGAGGTCAGCGGGCCTTTCGCCGAAAACGACAGCAGAACGCTAAAAGACGACACCGCGTAGTGGTCGATCTCGAAGTTAAGGATGGTCATATAGTCTCCAGCACCGATTCTAGTTTCGATGTGACGACCATACCACCACCGTTATTAACAGAGGGTCAGAGTCTGGATGTTGATGATGACGAAGACGACGAAATGTCCGAGACAAAAGATGGAACGGAACATCGTCGTCAGCAACAACGTTGAAATAACGTCGATAATCAATCAATCAACTGAAACAGAAAAATGTGAAAAAGAAAGTTGAGCGTGATTGACTACGCTCGATCGAACTAGTCGATTTAGAAAAATTTTCCCAGGCATGTGGAATTGAACGCACTTTAGAATTAACAAACTTCCCGGCCCGGTTGGCATTCTCGACTTAGATTATCTGTTATGCAAACGAAGATCACGGGATCATGAGATTTCGCGAACTGGCGACATCAATCAACGACCTGACCTGATTTTTGCGATTCTACAATCTTGATTCAAACGACGATTTGCTCAGCAGTATCGCGCTGGGAAGCGGTCGAGAATCGAGAGTTATACGGGTATGAACGACGACAAGGGCATCAATGAACAATGAAAGCAAGACGGACACGTCTGTCATTACGGGCTGAAAAGCCCGAAGCTGAATGATCAAAAGCTGCATGAAGCTGAATGTAGCATAATTGTTAAGAATAACGGAATAACGGTTAAAGATAAATACGGATACGGTTTGTTACGCGTTTTTAGAGATTTGGTTTACTTTGATATTATCACGTCACGATAGAATCCTTCGGAATCTTATCCTACTCCCGTAGAGGCAAGTATCTTAGCGAGTAATATTCGTGCATAACACATAACACGGAAAGCGAAGAATATTATCTATCGCGATCAGCGTGCACGCGTGCGACTCGTTGAAGAAACGATAACCGTTACGCGCGACACGTTATATTCTAGTAATAATAGCAATGTATGACGTAAGCTATAGGAATCGAAAGAGCGACATAGGACTTTCGAGGATAATCGTAATTTAAAGAAGACGAACCGCGTCGCTATAGATCATTTCTATCGGCCCAGACTCTCGTTTCCCTTCTCACACGAAATATTCCCAATATTACTGGAGAAAATCGTGCAGATTGAACGAATAACGTACATTCTTTTCTTTTTACCTTAAAAAAAAAAAAAAAAAAAAAAAAATTAAATGTAACTTTGTTACATTATTACACTTAATCCTCCTACAGCAGGTAATCGTGCAATTGTTATCGCGCGTTATCAACGTAACAACATTAAAAGGTTAAATAACGCTAAATCAGCGTTATGAACGTGCGACGTTCTATTCGGTCACGCGACCTTGAATTCGAGACAATCAGTCGCGAGAAGCGAGAAGTTACTTGAGATAGTTACTCGAGACGGAAATCCCTAAAGGAAAACGAGGTAAATAAATAAAATGAAATTACGTAAGATCGTCGAGACAATTGTTTCTAGTTCATATTTGAATTTCGAAAGCAGTCACAGCAATGCAATCCCATGATTTCGCCGCGGTTTGCTTCGCACGCGCGAGTTACAAGGAGGAAGAAAAGTTGCTCAACGTAGATACGTAAACATGGAAATACGTATAATACCGTATTTCTTTGCATCGAAAGTCACATCTAGTGGCGTCGGTGGGTGCATACTCTCCGCCTCTTTTTTTATGGAATTATCCTCGATGAGAGAACGATTTGTTTCCCGTTGGTTACGGTCCAACCGCTAACCAACCGCTCTGTTTTGAGTGGGAACTTAATCCTAATCCTCGTCTAATCACTAATTCGTGGAACTTATTCACCTAGCGACAGATATATTCTCAAGATCAAGGAAATTTGAGCTTTAAGCACGGACAACTTGTTATTTATCACCAATATTTATTTGAGAGTAAAAACGTAACGTTTAAACTATTTTTGAAAGGAATTGATCTTTTCTTTTTTCTTAGCGAATTTTCTATTTAAGATCGATATATGTGCATGTGTGATTTATTACTCGCGACTAATATAAATTTATTTTCTTAGATTGATAGTTGGAAAAAAAAAAAAAAGAAAAGAGTGAGAAAGGGGAGAAAGATCGGTTTTATAAGCGAGCGAATTGTGGAAAAAGGAGGATGGAAAAAAAGATTGCGGGTTGACTGAAAGATAATTTAAAAAGGAGTCCGACTCGAGCGAGGCAATAGAAAAAAAGTCCCATTTGGGTTTCCCATTGGCTTGTATTGTGCCTAGTTTTTTATACCATGTTCGTCATATGCACAATTTAATATGACAGCGAAACGCGAATGAATCCGAAATGCGAATCACGTGCGCGCGTGTCTCGGTGCATCCTTAGATAGGTAGAATATACGTAGGTATCGATTATGCAAAAAAAAAAAAAAATGAATAAGTGATGTGAGTTCTCGGGATAACAATCGCAAATTTACAATTAAACGCGTCGGAGATGCGACTTTGCTTATTCTTTTTGGATCGCATATCCTTGAATTATTACGATTATTTCCAATTTCTCAATTTTAGATAAGGCTTTTGGACTTTATTTGTTATTTAATATTTTCATATTGGAGCTCCACATTTTAATTGAATATAATTCTTCTTATATCTCCGTTAAACGTGTATTCAGTAATAAAATAACGAGCTACGAACCTTTAAGATATTAGGAGCGTTGTACGCATACAGAGAGTTATTCTATCTTAAAGATGAACATGGATCAAAATAGATTAAACGGAAACAGCAGGGTTGAATTAATTAATTTCATACGAAAGCCGAGGCCTTAGGCTCTTTAAATATTTCTACCGTTGTAAAAATGCGATTCAAATATCAATATTCAAATATCAGCTGAAAACTCACTTTTAATTTTAAAGGCTTGTTAAAATACGCCCTCTTTAAATGTGTTCGTGGCAAATATAATTAATTGCAGCAATAATTTCAGTCAATAATTCATTCAGGAATTCATCATAGCATTTTCCGATAACGAGACGAAATCGTCGTGTACCGTCAACAAAAGAAACGACCGCTGAGTGCCGATAAACGATGGCAAGCCGTTACTTTGTTCGACGAGCTAATGATAACGCGATAATAATTCTCGGTTTTACATTCGCGCATGTGTTCTAAGTCGTAGATTTAAATTCGTACGATTTGATTTACTTCTACTGATTATTGATGTACATATCATTATTTCCCATCGATGTATGTCAGAGTCATGTCGTTGAATTTTTTGATTACGTACGTATGACCGGATCGTATTTCAAGAGATCGGAATGTCAGTTATCCCGGGGATTGTTCGAGGCAAGCAACCATTGGAATGGCTATCGCCGAATCACTCAAATAGGTCGCGGTTTCGGCAATTCCAGGGCCACCGGCGGGTGGCCCTGATTTGGAGCATACGACATAGAAAGAGAATAGGTGGCTTATCTGACCACGCATGGAGGAAATAGGACAGATCTCTGTAGACGATCTTCTGTAAATATACTACTATTTGGAAAAGAAGAGTTCTTCCCATCACATTCGTTATCAAATTGGGACTCGAAATTCAAAAATCGTTTTAACCGTCCCGTAATTTGCAACGGCATAACTGTCTTACTTTCATCTGTTTCCCCAAATTTTTATCCCGCATGCAGCGAAAAATTACACTCGGAAAAATTCATTTGAAATTAAATATGTCGGCGTGTGTGTAGTCAGGTGAAACGGATGTAGATAGAACTTTTGATGCGATGAATATTAGGATTTGAATTAACTTAAAATCCGCATCAAATTTAATGATCATATCGTTATGTCGAATATAAATATGTCTTCATCAAACATATTTTGATAACTTTATAATTTACCGAATTTATAAAAGACATAACTTTTAAGAAGTTACGAGGATGCAGGATTACGCATGATAAACGACGAACAGTTAACATACAATTTATCTCTTTGAATAGATTCGGTGGTAGAGGTCATACTTGCCATATTGGTCTAGTTACGTTAATGTCTAATGAAGGCACGGCCTGGGCGATTAGTCGAATAAAACCCCTTGATGCGTGATTAGTATCATTGTGTTTTCATTTATGTATGACTATCTGTGCTGCGGCGAATTCGATCAAGAATATATATATGAACACTATCAAATCGTAGAAAAAAAGACATCGCGCGAATTTGCTTTTTTTATTACAAAAGAAGATAATTTTTCCATTCGTTCAGTTTACTCAATCAGAAATTCTCTCTGACCTTTCAGACACTTGTTATGTAACTGTTTGCGATTCCTATCGAAATTGCGAATTTCCGATTTACAAATTTCCATTTTTAGACTATTATGGAATTTTATCGAATTTTGTTAGAATCGGCTTAATATTGAGTTAATCTAATTGAGTAAATATCAATAAAAGCTGAAATTTTAATTTAATTAATAAAATAATTAATAAAAATATTTAATTTAATATGTTTAATTAATGCTGTAAGTATCTCACTATTCACGTTTCGGATATCAACATTTCGATCGAATGATTGATTTTTCATTCCGTGTTGAAAATTTTTCAATCGTTTTGGATCGTATTTTAATTCAAATATAATAATATAAAATAAATGAAAAATGAGAAATCCTGAGTCGGAAATTATTTCTAAATAGAGATAAGTGCTTGTAATAAGTGCTTTTCACTCGCTCCATTAAGTTCATTTGATCGAAATTCGCTCACGTGGTCTCACGTTGATACATTCTTCCCATCTTTTGATTCCTGCATTTGTGCATCGTCAGACTCGATTCCTGTCATCGTGTGATATTGCACCTGTGCATATGCACGCGTTTCACGCACTTGTTGGTGTCTTTCCCAGCTCCTCACTGTGTGTAAGTTATTGACTCGCTTTAGTTTTACTTTCTGTAAAACACGACGCCGTTCCCCTATACGCAGACCGCGACCACCGAATGCACGCGTGTTATTTCGCGCCCCCTCCCCCCCCCCCCCATCAATGACGTGTCCAAAAATTGTCGCGCCTCTTGAACAATAACGGAGAATTCCGAGGATTTCCATCCCTCGTCAATGTTTTCCTTCGTGCGAACTTCCGCGCGTTGATCTCAATACGTGGCATGTCATATGCAGTCCTGTCGCACACACCAACATGTAATGCATGGAAGGATCGAAGAAATCGCGACATGGATATTTCCGTTCTCGCACGACACGTTGGCTCGAGAATTGCAGGGAATGCTTTTGAACAAACGTCAGAATTGAACGGAAGATATGCCTGGGATACTCTACATATATCAATCGAACATTAGGCGCCGTGCGAAAGGTTAAATAAAGGTTCCATCGGTTATTATAAAGTTCGAAGTTCATTCCTCTCGAGATGCGATTATCAAGTGTTTATTCATTCGACTCGAAATTGAATTATCTGATTTAGAAATAGTACTCAAGTGCTTTAAGCATCTGCGTTTGTCGACGTAAAAAAAAAAATAATACTAGTTTTTATTTTTAAATATAATAGAATTTTTTGTTTACAGCAGTAATTAAATATAGATACAACTTTTGCCGATCCGATTCTGTGTTGATGCCCGTTCTTTGTCGCTTATGCTTTAATGTGAGCTATTTATCTCTTGTGTAATTAAAGCTCTAGCGATATTTATTCGGAAAGAAAAATCATCGATATATTCCTCGTCGAGAGATCAAGTTTTGACTCTTCAATTCTATCACTCTTTCTAAGTTACAATTTGTGTATTTTCACTATTTAATTCTATATCTATTTAATTCTAATTTTCATCATTTGATATCTTTCTTTTGGCATTTAACTTTTGATCGCTCAAAGAAGAAATAGCGAAATATTAAATCAGCTCTCGTTTAACGATTTTATTCCTGAATTAGATATATTTCTTTGTCTTGTTTTCCCTTTTTCTTTTTGTGGCAAAATACGTGAATACGTATCTTCGAAGAAAGAAAAATAAATAAATCTTTCATATCGGAAGAGTGAAGTGTCAAATTGATGGCTCTTTCCAACGAAGAGTGTTTGGGTCCCCTAAATCACATCATGAACAAACTGACAGATCTTCGCACGATAGAATACCGCATATACATGTGTATATATTTATATATATATATATATATATGTGTATGTAGCCGGTATACTTTACATATGCTTTTCGACAGGTGGTGATTACAATCGTTGGACCTACACGAACGGATACGTGAACTCGCCGGCATGGCACATGCATTACCGCGTGAACCAGGTGCGTAACGTAATGGTTCACGCAACACCACGCACCCTGACCAATCGATTCTTACCGCTGTACCCACGTTGAGCGGAAAGCCATACACCGCACACTGTTCAGGCTAAGAAAGTACCACGCTACACGTCAATGAGGTTCGCGCAAATAGATGCGCAGCCGCACACACCAGAGGATCGCAAAACGAGATCACTGAAAAAAAAAAAAAAAGAAAGAAGAGAAGCGCAAAAAACCGATATCCTGAGCGTACTGAGCTTCTACTCTTCATCTTTTTGCAGCCTCTTCGAATATTACGCTTGCGATCGTTTGATTTTTTATGCAGCATTCTCTCGGGGTTGTGATTTTTGCGGGGGGGAGGTAGGAAACCATAAATTATGCTTTCTCATGTTGTTACAGTGTAAGATCTGTAAAAATTCTATTGTCAAAAGCAGAAAAATTCGAACTCAATTTTTTTCAAGCGAATGGAATTCATTTCGCGCCTAGACGTTTGCGATTTTTAATATCGAAGTAAACAAAGTGCGAGTCTCGGCAATCATAGTTCTGGACTACTCACTAGTGTTAGAAATTTGGAATAATAGAATATATACAATGACAGAAATATGTAATAACATTATGAAAAATTATTTTCATTAGCGTCTAATGACACATGGGGTGTGCAAATCTTTATATATTAATATTATTAAATATATATATTTGGAAAATATATATTATACTTCCAAATCACTCCGTGTGTATAGAAGCGCTACGAAATTTTATCTTTTTCCCCTTGTCAACTTTGTTTGACACTAGAGGACTTTTAAAGATAGGCACTTTGCCTATGCGTAATAAAACGTGTTGTTCTCTTTCG